GAGTCATAGTCTGGGGTATTGGCTCTAACCGATCACCTGGCAAGTCAACCTCAATATCACTTCCCTCGATTAAAACTCTATAAAATGTTGCAAATCCCATTGGAACAAGTTCTTGTACTGTGCCCCTACCTTTGCCGTCAATTCGAACAGAATCCCCAATGTTTACGTCAGCCATGTTGTAGTAGGCCTATACTATAGTAGTAGTAGTAGTAGTAGTGCGTAGGAATACGACCTAGTTCCCACGGTGTCGCGCGCTCATTTGCATCTTTATTGCACACGTTCAATATCAATTTTATTGCACCCCTTTATTGCACTGCAGAAGCCTTATATTATATAATAAATATATATATTATGTTTATTTTATATATCATGAAATATTTTGCATAGATTGAAATATTCTGATTATCATGTTTTTATCTCATATAGCAAACTGCAATGTTAAAATGACTTACTTGTGATGTAGGTCAGCCCTGGCATTTTCCAGTAAACTGTGGCCATACCTTGGCTGAGTGGGACTGCCTGTCATCCTCCTGTGATTGAATCACATACGAATAATGGTGAATGACAATGGAATTTTATATACAGACAAGAAATACAGAAATTAATAAGTGATTATGTTTCCATTTGCTCTGCATTGCCCCTATATAACCTTACCAAACAAAATAGAAAGATATCAGATCATAATTCTCACATAATTCCCATTGGTGTAGTGATATGAAGAACATATATGTGATGTTGTGACTAAATGAGTGTAGCTATGTTGTATAAAAGGTGAATATCCCCACGGTGGAATATATTGATTAAATTATTGAAATTGATGATTTAGTGTTTATTTCCACAAACTATATTTTTTGCTGGGAACGGTCGTGCGTTATCGTGACGTTATAAGAACAGGTCCCATTGACAGATAGCGTGAAATTTGACTTTGAAATGCGATTACAGGTTGGAAATATAAGATTTTTTTTTAATTAAAAACGGAAATATAAGTATCAAACTGCCTTATTTGGAAAAGATATTGCCCTAAAATTCTCACAGGATTACAGACTAATTAATCATAACGCGCATAATTCAATTTGTCTGCAATACTGTGAGAATTATAGGACAATAACTTTCCAAAGGCAGTTTAATGCTTAAATAAAATTGTATGCAGGTAATTACACTACATGCATTGTATTTTTCTGGTAAGTGGCTTAAACTTCTCAAACGAGGTGTTAATAGGATGTACACCAAACAAAACAATTGAAAAAACCCTCAAATGAAACAGATTAACAGGAATATACGGTAATATACGATGAAGGACACAAGTCTCAACTACAAGATGTATAATTCTTCTAGTCCAATGCTCGGGGCTAGTATACAGGTGAAGTATGGGCTTCGGGATATAACAAGTTTCTGGTTCCCTAAGACCTGGGCCCATAACTCATGAAACGATTCTCATGCTCATGCATGGGTTTTGTGCTCAAGCCTAATTTCTTGTTCTGGATATGAATTACCTGGTAATAATAAATCTTATTTAGTCGATGCTTTGGAAAACATATGAAGATACTTAAAGCCAAATACTGTTTTCAATGTTTACATTTGACTTGTTGATCATTTGACATGATTTAAGTGAGTTACAAGAAAGTTGGTTTGAGCCCTTGAGCCCATAATCCATGCTTGACTATTGAGAACGGTTTCATGAATATGGGCCAAGGTTTATTTCCAAACGCAAATATCTTCCACTTACTCCGTAGTAAATCTAACTGTCACATCACTTCCACTTACTCTGTAGTAAATCTAACTGTCCCATCACTTCCACTTACTCTGTAGTAAATCTAACTGTAACATCACTTCCACTTACCCTTGTGGTGAGTCCATTGGGCCGGTCACTCTCATGTTCTTGGCCAGTCTTGAGTCGGGCTGAGGCTGCGTACGAGCTATTCCCTACAAAAACAATCATACTTTAAATGCAACAGGAAAAGATGATACAAATCTGATGATTTCACTTTTTTTTTAAGAACTGTGGTTCCACTTAAAAGACATTAGGTATCCCAGTATGTGTTCCTTCCTCCATAATGATTTAATGTTTTAATGGAGCAAGAGGTTAAAGTTCATAGACACCCCAAATGGTTGTAGGGAGGGCAAGGCCATTTTGCTGGTGGTCAACATATATATATTTAATTACAATACTTACTGTGCTAATTCTTGAGCCTACATGGTTGTAGGGTGTAGTCCTTTTGTTAGTGGCTAATTGCTGTTTGGACAACATCAACTATAAAACAAGATAAAAGTGTTTATCAATAAAAAAAATAAGGGTTAACGTCTTGGTTATTCAGGGTATATGTGCCTATTAAATCACACACAACTAATTCTGTTTGTTCACAATTAATTAAAACTTCAATAATAATATAGCAAAAATTACAATTCATTTTATAATATGTATTCAATTATTAATTATATCTTAAGTTATTTCGAAGGACATGATTTTAACAAGCAGATTATACCATCAGCTAAGATAACACATTTACATAATTCATCCATTTTGACAAAGAAAACATAGTTGATAATTTTCAAGACTTTTGCTACTGATTTAATCCTAACATTCCAGTTTGATCATTTTATCATCACTTCCCCTATATACTAACCCTTTTGTTTGTCCTAGCCTCTTATCTGTCATTACGCTTTACCTCAGCCTTCTCTCTAGCTTAGCCATCCATCTGTCATTTTCTCCCCTCTACCCTAACTAGGTCTCAGTCTCCTTTCTGTACTTACCTCCCTTCATTCAAAGCTCTCTATTTGAGCCTTCCATCTGTCTTTGAATCCTCTCTGCTCTAACTCCCTATCTCCCTCACCTGTCTGACCTAACATTCCTTCTGACTCAGCCTCCCTCCTAGCCTAGCTTTAGTCTTTCCTTCCTCTCTAGATATTAATCTCCCCTCTGTCCTAACTCTCTTTCCCAGCTTTCTGTTTTTTCTTTACCTACAATGTCTTTGACTTGTTTGTCCTAGCTTCCTGGTTTTTATTCTCCTCGGTTCTAATATCCTCTTTGTCCTGTAATTCTTTATCCCAGCTTCTTTTCTATCCTAGCCTTCTTTCCTATTTCCTTGTCCTCCTTTCCGAACCTCATAATTGTTTGTCACCTCCTACCGTAAATTTCTACTATCCTTCCCTCCTCTATGTCCTAGTATCCTCTCTACAATAACCTATCCAGTTACTCAGCCTTTACTCTCTCTAACCTCCCCAACAATTGGTTGTGTATCATACCTTTTCCTTTAGCTGTAAATTTTGCTTGTCCAAGCTACGGATTTTCTCAGACAGTTCTTCAACCTTTTCCTCCATTTCCACATCTTTCACTTTCTTACCTTAAAATGTTTTTCAAGAAAAAAATTGTGTCATCATTGGAAAAGCCTTTTAGTTCTCAAATCTGAAAATGTGAAGTACTTGTATAGTATGAAATCATATCTGGTCATTATATGTTTAAGATCTTGAATATTCATGTATTAAGTTAACTCATTTTGCTTTATTCATTTCCATTGCGGAGGACACAGTAGTCTAGTGGTAGGATGCCGGGCTCGTGACTGAAGGGTTGCGGGTTCGAGTCACGGCAACGCACTGTGTTGTATCCTACTTATACTTCACTTCGCTTGTTCCAGTCCACTCAGCTGTAAATGAGTATGTGGTTGGGCAGTGCTAGAATTGTTGAATGCTAGCTGTGAGCCCCGAAATGGCAGCACTGGCTGTATGCTCCCGAGGGAGATGAGAAAGATACTGGCTGGTTGCAAAGGCCATATAACCATGGATAATAATGTGGAACTGCTTTGAGAGGACCTACGAACTAGGTTGTGATAAAGTGGTATATAAGAACCTTGAATTATTATTAATATTATTGCCGGGTAAACACAGTTTATCTGAGAGATTTTGATACACAAACTTCAGTACCAAGCTGGATTAAGTAGACATAGTATAGTTTAGTCTATATCTGTAACTTATTCACCCCTACATTTTTAAACTGGACTTGCCTAATCTTTAATTTGGTAAGATTCAAATGTGACTTCTGGGGTGAATGGGTTAATATTTAATTATACTTTATGATTGCCTTGTTACCTCTTGGTTCCCCTCCATCCACTTCATTGGTTTTCTTTTTGTCATTAACTAATCGCAGCAGTTTAGTGGCCATCCTGAAACAGAAAGACACAAGCATTTACCCCCAGTAGCCCTCTGATCTACTCAAATAGATTGGAAATGATACATAAAAAAACAAGAATGATGTTACTTGTATCACAGAACATTGAGAAAATACTGTTTTTTTAAAGGACACAATGATTAAAACTAATAACAATTGGTTAAGGAAATAACAAGATATGAAAGGGGTTTTATATATATGGCAAACAAAAGATAAGGGGCCTGCATATGAAGGTCATCCTGTTTTTCATGATCACCTCTTAATCTTGTCTTCCTGTTTGCGAGCATGTTTCTTGAGGATGAGGTTTTCCTCATACATGCGGAGGTATTTGTCCTCTAAACTGTCACGGTCCCAACGTGACACCATCCTCCTTTGCTGTGCCGCCTTCTGCTCCACTGCTAAATAGAACACACACGCATGTTATAAATGAGTCAGGATATTTTCTAACACCTACATAAAATATGACAAAAATAACCCTTACATGATGTGTTAAAGTGAGTTTAAGTGACTGTGTGGAACAATTTAGAAAGAACATGTCACAGTACAATAAGGTTCCATGTCATAATGCTGTTCACAAATGAATTTCATTAATTTGTTGATCAAATGAAACAGATTTGATATTTTACTATTATACAACATTGGTTGTTGACACCAAAAGAAATGTGTCTGATTTTCAAGAATAGCAGGTTGAATTTTGACAGGTAAAAGAATCATAAATTAACTGATTGAAAGGTCATGAAAAATGGTCTGTTTTTGCTGTCAACCTGCTTATGATGAGAACACACTGATAACAGTTACATGTTGATGGTAAAATGTTAGTGTATTTGATGGTTTTATACAATGAAACAGCATACTGCAGCAATGTATTAAAAAAATCATTATTCTTCAAGTCGTAATCTGTTTCTTAAATACAACAAAGGCACGGAACAGTGTAGCAAAAGAAATTTTGAATAGTTACCAGCATCATGGTTTAGCTTGCCCCCTCCAGGGTCTCTCACTGGAATCATGTCCATATCTGTCGTCTGTTTAAACCTGCTGTCTGTCTATTGCCAGTACTGGTTCAACTTGCACATCATCAGTATGTAATACTCATTGCTGATACTCTCTGTTTCAATGACCTGTCAAAATGTACATTCATCTTTAACAATGAACAGCATGAAAATGTTACAACATTCATCAAAATAAGCAAATTTAAAAAACAAAAGATGAACAAATACACTTATCTATATCAAAATTGTAGATGTGTTCCCCTTATTTCTTTACTATTTTTTTAAATCAACCCTGACAAAACATGTTATCATTGTGGAAATAATATTTTACAATACTACTTACAGTTACTAGATCAGTATATCTCAACAACTGGTCGCTGCGCAGTAACTTTTTTCTCTCATATCACTATGTAATATATTGTAACCAGTCTGACTGTAACATGTTAGCAGATGTTGGTGTCAGCACATATGCTTCTCACAGAAAGCGAAACTTTTCAGCTTTAATACAATGGACTAAATATTAAATTCAAACCTGGTACTGAAGTAAGGCTATAGAAAAGACAGGATTAGTGACAGTATGGAGAACAAATAAAGAGGAGAATTTTTTTGGACAGTTGATAACTGTTCATACAGGGTTTCACACCTTTTAAGGCAGGTCCAGTACACTCTGCCGATTGAGCTATATAGCTGTAAAGACCTATAATAGCTGTATTGACCTTTCTGAAATAGGTCTTTTGAGCTATTTTCAAGTGATTTTCTTTTTTAAGGAAAACGGAACAAAGTCGCATTTAAAAGAAGATTGTATCTTTAGGTTGATAACAAAAGACAATAAATATAAGTATTCTTTTTAAAAAAAAATGATGAATAGAAATCGGAAATTTTACATTTATGAAAAATGAAAATAAACATCTAACTGTATCCTTTTTGTAGTCAACATTACCATTAACCTTATTGTTTTATGCGACTTTGCTTTAATTTAATGAAATTTGAAATCTGAGAAAATATAGCTCAATACAGCTATAATTTATAGGTGTATATAGCTATATAGGTCTTTATAGCTATATAGCTCAATCGGCAGAGTGTACTGGACCTGTAAGGATCTACTGTTTCAGTTCCAATTTTTGTCAAATTGAAAATTGGATGACAGTCTGTATATCGTGCCAAATAATCCTGAATATATTAACCGGACGATAACAAGCTAACGTCGTTGACAGGATCGAGAATCACAGATTGAATAAAGATACAGTAAATATCATAATGACAAGTCGCAACGTGCTCAAAGACACATTCAAATATGGCGCTTCACCATTATGGCCAATATGTATCCATTGATTCAAGTATTTTCGTACGGGAAGTATTGAAATAAATCAAGAGGAGATGTATCGGACGAAAAAACTATCGTAAACAAGGCGGTTTGACTTTTTACAGTAGCAAAGTGCCGATTTACTGTACAAGAGGTGTAAACAACGATAGGTTGATGATCTCTTTCGGTGAATTCGATATTTTCTTGGCCATATAAGTGCACAACGTCAACATATGCAAGGAAAAGAATAAAATCGGGCACAACTAAAAAACAAGAAACAAATAACATTAAAAAAAACTAACTGATATAACCTACCTGTCATTCAAGAAATTAAAATTGTCGTCAAGAAAGCTATTTTCAAGGTTCCATTTCCTGTCTTGCGCACAACACCGGATGTAAATAATGCCGAGAGAGGCACCGACGGGGTACTTTTAAGACGATGGCATGGGGGTTGCAGAATAAATCAACGTTGACTTTGGACAAAAGTCTCTCAATCAATCAATCAAAATATTGCAACGATACATGGATAACATTTGCAAGTGCACCCAGATGCAAACATATCAACATTGGAAAGTCCGCGGGAACACTAGATAGCTGCCATGTCAAATACTAATATATTTAATGATAAAGATTGGAGTAATGATAGAGCAGAGACATATAAACGTCTCTGGACAGAGCCAGACCGCGACTCAAATTTTAAAATCATATAAGTGAAAAAGTGAAGAATGCCAACTCAATGTTTGCCATGCTAAGAATTAAGAACCTTTCATTTTATAGACATCAACTTATTTATAGCTTTATTGTCTTGTCAGGTCGCAACTTGATTATATAAGTGCAGTCTGGTATCCATATAAATACAAACATATTGATTTAATTGAAAATTTTCAACGCCGAGCCACCAGATGCTTGTAAACATGGACTACAAACATTATCATGTGAAGAAAGGCTTAAAAGACTAAATCTAACAGGCGTGCGTCGGGATATGTTTAAAGTATATAAGATGATTGTGGCGTTTATGACAAGGAATGCTGTACTTCTTTAAAATTATGGTCATGTATGGCCATCAAACACAGTGAAAGAGGAAAATTAAAATAAAATGTTTCCACAAAGGGCAAACACATCATTAAGAAGGAGCTCGATCATTGTGAGAGCAGCACGCAATCTACCAGAATCTGTGATATCGGCTCCAAACAAACTTTTTAAAAAATAGACTAGACAAGTTTTTTGGAAAATCAAGACCCGATTTATAATAACAGAGCAGAACTTTTAATATGAACTTTAATCAAAATTTAACGGAACTTGACTGTCTATATTATTTATTGTATTATTTTTTCCTGTACTGGATTAAACTTAACTAACTTAACTAAAGCCAGAGACGTATTATAGGTCTCTGCTGAAGCCAAACATTTTGGAGACGATACACTTTTTTATTAGACTGCTCTGAGAGTTTCTAATTATGACCGCGAGAACATTTCTAGATTAATTTGCAAGTATATGACACGAATTACTAGTGATTATTCAATATATGAAAGTGCTAATGATATTTTGGATCTACGATAAAAAATCTAAGCGATGTTCACTGTTACATAGTTCCACAGTAATATACTCGGTTTCTAATATTGCGAGTGAAGTTATATCTATATTGTACCAGGGACGTATAGTGAAGGGGATTAGCAACTCCCTCTTTGCCTTACCAATTTTATGACACGTCAATCTAGACTTACCTCCCCCTGATTCAGGAGCAGATAGCGAGCGCCACCTATCTCAATTTTGACAAACCAAGATGGCGTCGATACCGCTTTGTTAGATTACAGAAGTTGGCGTGAAAACAAACCAATCGCGATAAGTGTTCTTACTTCTTTTGTTTATCCCATTTTTATAAGCTGATTGTATTACTTATAATTGATAAAATCTGTGGTATCATATTAATTGATGTCTCGTTTTTGGGGTATATTTTTCTATTTTTAAACGCGATGTAACGCGT